ATGACTTATACATTACCTGGAACACAACCCATACTTCATTAATAGAAGTGAATAAGGGGTAGAAATTATAGCTCCAGTATACAGCACTAAGTGATTGAAAATAAAGATGGATGAGGTAAAACCTAGCACCTGCAGTACACTGTGGTGGTTAGCCCAGCTCTGTAGATTATGAGGCTGTAACCAGAGCAATTTGCTCACATGGCAACAGATGCTTTTATCACAAACATTGTCCCAAAGCCAAGAGCAGCCCCTCAAAGGCCTGACTCATTAACACAAATGTAAAGAGGCACAAGAATGGCACACCCTTATCACACACTCCTTGAACACATGCGTGGAATGTCACTTACATAATTGAAGGCTGCAGTTGGGCTGCATGAAATAAAAGCCCACAGAAACTGCTAAGTTCCTTCGTTTTTTTTTTTTTTTAAAGCTTTTCTATTTTATATTGGAGACAATGCTCACAGCATGAGTAATACCCATCAGTTATCAGTAATTTAGCAGATTGTGCCAGTGTTGACATTTGTTCTTGGCTTAATTGTGTGTGAGTGTATGTTTTAAACAATGATGCAGCTGTCCCCATTCCTGGCCATTACAATATAAAAATGGTGTTCACTGAATCTGGCACTGTAATCACTTGGCCACGTGTTTACTCTTTTGTTTGTAAGTCCTTCTGAGTGTTTGCTGCAATTCTACAATCAGAGAATAAATTTGGCCTAAGGTAGAGTCTGACTCACATTGCTAGTAGCATCAAAGATTTCAAACTTGTTCATTTCATGACCTTAGTTCTCTGATTCCACTAGACTTGCAAGACATTTGTGGGTGAGTTAAATATAACTCTTTGGTTTGATCTGAAGAAATCAGATTTCAAATGCCATTGGGCTGGATGAGCAGTGTCAGCAGAGATGTACTAGATTATTGCTGGCCATTTGCAGAGTATCAAGTGATGAAGATCAACTCCATAGGTGTTGCCACAAAATCCCAACTGTACCCAACACCTGCATCAATCTCATTGCCTGCAAATCCATGTAAGTTACAGAGAGTAAGGACCTCTGGAGCTGCTACTGTCACTCAATAATTTTGGCATTCTTTTTTCCTTATTAGGTTAGAAGGTTAATGCTCATGTCACCTCATTTGGTGATGGCAAGACAAAACAAATATCTACTTAAAAACAATGTATCCTTTTGGAAAACCATTTGGCAGTATTCACTAAAACTGAGCATACATACACTGTCTGATTGAAAAATTCTCTTCCAAATACAGATGCCCAATAGATATGCATGCATCCATCCATCAAAGAGCAGTCTTTGGAAGCTTCATGGCAACAGCTGCGAGATGTCCATCAACAGTAGAAATGATAGTACTAGGCATGTAGTAGTATGGTGGTATAATGCTTGCCTAGCATGCACAAGTCACTGGATTCAATCCGAGGCCCTAAAAACAAAGCAAAAAGAAAGATAAACAGGTGTGCTACAGTACTATACAGCAGAAAGATTGCACGAACTCCAACTTCACACTAGATACCCGTTTTGTCCTGTTGTGAAAGGACCACATATTTAATATTGTGAGGAGCACACAGATGAGCTTCAAGTTGTGTAGCTGGAGGTCTCTTTTTTGATGAGTTTCAAGGTCAGGGCAGCTGGAGCCCAGGACCCTCTTCAAAGCCTCTTCATGTTGTTGGAAGAATTCAGTCTTTTTTTGTGTGGTTGTTGGCTATTGGCCGGCAGCCAGTCTCTGCTCTGAGGGCATCTGAGTACTTTGCCAAGAGGTCTCCTCTATCTTCAAAGTCATCAGTTGAGTGCTTTCTCAAATCAATCCCTCGAATGATGCAAATCGCCTCCATAGAAGAGCCCAAGGACTCTGTGATCAGGGTCATAGAGAGCAACTTACTGATCTCAAACCAGCTGACATCAGGCTGATGACATATGAAAACCCTCTGCCCGGCAGCACCTGTGTTAACATTCGGCTGAATGACAGGTAAAGGTGTGTGCACAAGAGGGTGTACATACACTTACATACACTCATACATAGACAATGACATGGATGGATTTCACAACTGACAGTGAGCCACAGAAGCCAGACATAAAAACAACATTCCATTTAAAGAAACTGCATGAACAGGAAATACGTTATTTTGCCATTAGGAGTCAGTGCTGGCTCTGTGACGTGACTTAGTGGATAAAAACACTGGCTGTGCAAGCCTGATGCCTAGAGTTTGATCCTCGGAACACCGGAGCGCACAGTAGCCATAATGGAGCTTGAGGAGATCCTGGTGGGTGGGGAGGACTTCTCTGGTTTGTATTCTGGTTACATCACTGTGCTCAGCTCAAATTCAGTGAGCTATACATTAATGGTTCATGCTGTTTTGGTAAATGTATTGTACTTCAATGAAAAGGTTCTTGGGATCACTTGGATTCATTACTGTGAAATGGATTTGTTTTGTTTCTCCAGGGAAGCTCACGTGCAAAGGCAATTCTCAGAATGGGGAGGGAGGATGAACAGGGTGAGAAAGGAAACAAGGTGCCAGGGCTGCAGGGAGGGCTGGCCACCCTATTTTTAATGTTCAACCTCCATATGTTTGAACAGTGACAGATCTGAAAACTGAATTAGTTTCCCAGAACTGAAGTAACCCTGAATGTTTGTCCATCCTGCCCTATTGGTCCCAGTAATGTGCCGAAGAGATGCTTATCTGTCACCTGGCATTCACAAATACAGAGGACCAGCCATGTGCCAAAAATGTTAACTTTTTAATCCCTCTTTCCCTTCCCTGCTCTGCTCTCTAAATATACCAGTTTAGAAGCAGACAGTGGACTCTGGTTTCTAGATTAGAGATCCCCTCCATAGCCAAATAGAAAGCTTATATTGTCATCAAGTGACCCATTCTGCGTCTGTCCTCTCTCACCTTTCATGAGGATGGCATAAAGTAACCAGCTGGACTGTCGGTAGTAACGAGGTGGAAACCCCTGCTCTGTCAGCTTGGAACTTGGGTGTGGAGGACCCAGTGGAAAGTGGTATGCAGGGACCCCTGATAAAAAGTTTGGAGACAGCTGAGCATACTATGGAGGCACACACCTTAACCCCAGCATTGAAAATGATCACAAGTTGGAGGCCAGCCTGGGCTACAGAACAAAAGCCTGTGAAAAGAAAAGGCAAGAATTGAAGAAAGCAGGAGAGAAGCACTAAGTCAGTGCTGTTGTTGGGGTACACTGATAGGCCCCCATTCCCAGTACAGGAAATCTGAAGTTCAAGGATTCCTTGCTAGGCAAACCCCGCTAGGTAACTTGCACTTGGCCTATTCAACTGTAGACCGTAAAAGAAGATAGAAGGCGAAAATTCATTAGCATATGTGAGAGCGATTATAGGTTGAGGTGTAAAACATCAACGATTGCATGCTAATCAGACAATGATGAGCCCTCCAGATTTCTAGATTATCCCACTAATTGGCTAAAAAGCCTATGCACAGATAGGTGCAGAGGATAGAAAATTACACACATTCTTTAAAGATAATACTCAGTATTTCAGTCCTGTGAATGAACACAGATTGCAATTATTGCTGGCTCCCTAATCATAGAGGCTTAGTATGCATTCCTTGGTCTTTCTGGTCAAAAAGGAAATTGCTAAATGCACAGGCTGAAGGAGTTGGAGTCTGGGTATTTCTCCCCAAAATTCTTTTTCTTGCTGCGATTTGAGGTTTTGTCAAATTTCGAGCGCAAAGCAGGAACCTCGGGAGTCTTTAGAAGGTCCTGGGAAGGGCGCCCTAGCATACAGAATGAGTTGAGTAGTGGATGCTCAAGGCACGTGACTGGCTCCCAAGCCTATGTGGTGTTGGGATAGAAGGGCTGTCAAGAGCCTGGAACCCGTTAGGGGTGGTATTTTTCGGGAGTAAGGATTTCTGTGATACCACCGCTTTCCCGTTGCATCTCTGGAATAATTTTCCCCAGCTTACACTGGAGCACGGAGTGCTCACTGTTGGACCTAGTGACTTCTTAAAGCTTTGGGGAACCGTAGTACCCGAAGGTGACCGGCTGCTGACCTCCGGTCTATGAAGAGTTCCAAGGATGAGACAAAGTCCCAGTGTCTGGGTGACAACAGGGTTATTGACGAAAGGCCGCGAGCTGCAGATGGTGAGAGGGTAGAGGCCCCTGGCGGGCGGGGCGAGGGGCGGTGGGTAGACCCCCACTTTCTGCTCAGCAGGAGTGGGGAATCGACGCCCTAGGGACAGCCCCTCAGGCAATTAGCATGCAGGGGCAGCGCGCGCCGTCCTTGAAGGGCTGCCCGGCTGACCTTGCTCCGCTTTCACCGCGGATTCTCCAACAGCGCGCGCGGACGCGGCCGCCGCGGTGACTCAGTGCCCTAAGCGCCGCATGCAAATGCTCATCTCCGGACGAGGCTGGCTCTGCAGTCTGCTCTTGTCCCCGCGCTCCTCCGAACCCCACGATTCCAGCCCGGCCCTTTCCGCCGCTCCCTTCCCCCTCCCCACAGCCCCACATCCTCAGGTTGCGTCGCCCACCTCGCCTCCGCAGCACCGAAGGGCAACCTTCGCACTCCCTGGCTGCGGGCGCGGGGATCAGATGCGCTGTCCCCGGGCCGGCCCCAAGCGTCCGGCGCCCCGGATCCCGAGCCAGCACGGAGGGGGCGGTGCGCCGCGCAGTGTCTCAGCCCCGCCTGGCCGGCCCTGCTCCTTATTGGTCGTCACCTCGGCGGGAGGGCGACCCGGCTCGCGCACCTGCCGTCGCCCCTCCACGGGCAGATCGGCGGCTGCGGGACACCGGCGCCCAGAGACAGCAGCACGCGAGGGCAGGCCTGGGGCTCGGCGGATCTCCTCGTGTCTGGCCCTGTCCTTTCGCCACCGCGGCCCCAGTTGCTCCCGCGGGAAACTTTACCCCGCGAAGTCCTCTGCCCTCCTGGCCACACCGTGACAGTTCACCTAACGCCCCCCGGGGCCCCGCACAGCGCGCGAGATTGCCACGCCGCCCCGCACGGTGCGTCCGCAGCGCCGGGCCGCCAAGATGCGCTACGCAGACCCCTCGGCCAACCGGGATTTGTTGGGGAACCGAACTTTGCTCTTCATTTTCATCTGCGCCTTCGCCTTGGTGACCTTGCTGCAGCAGCTCCTGTATAGCAGGAGCTACATCAAGAGGTAAGAAAGTCTGAGGGGTAGGATATACCCAGCCTAAAGGTAGCCAAAAGGCCAGCGGTGTCGTTCCCCGAGCAGGTGACAGGAGGTCTGCCCTTAGCCGGAGTACCTCCATGGTGTGCCTTATGGCATCTCTGCTGCCAGCCAGAGGACAGCGCCAGCTGTGTCGTGGTGGGGTTATGGGTGTGTGTGTGTGTGTGTGTGTGTGTGTGTGTGTGTGTGAACTTTGTTCTGCTGTGAACGTGGGCAGCACCTTGGAATGCCAAGCAGCTAAGCTGACCATAAATGTATGTGCATGCCCAGAGCTGCGCTGTTCCCCAAAACCTACATTTCCCTGGCCATTTGGCTGCAACCGGAGGGTCAGAGGCTTCTTTTTCTTCTTCTTAGTTTGTCAAGTCATAAATTTTTGTAGGGGACCTTGGAGGTAAAGGCTTCTTTCTCCCCAGGAACCCTGCATTAGGTGGGGTGGTAGTGGTTGGTCTGTGGTCATGCACAGGGACAGTGAATTCTAGATCTGTGAGACAAGCTGATGACCTCCCAAGTAGAGGGTTCTTTCGCATCCTTAGCACCGAAGGGCAGAGCAGCCGCAGAGGCTGGGCTCTCTCACCCCTTCTCCATCCGCAGCCAAACTCCTTGAAGAGAAAGGGCAGAAGATGCCACTCCAAATTCAGGAACAGTCTCAGTCTCAGTGTGCGGAAGACACACCGACATGCCAGGTTCCTGTGGCTCTGCTGCCTGGTGGAGCCTGAGCTGCTGCCGCCTACCTGCCAGATTGGAGGTGGGAGCTGTGCTCTGGACGCTCCCATGCTGATGTCTCTGGTGGAAAGAGCCCCTCCCTCACCACTAATGCCTGTCCATCTCACGGCCTTCCGTTCAAATGGAGAGGAATGAAAATGTCTAGACAAACACACATCCTATCTCAGAAGTGCCCCAGTAATTAAGTGCTGTTCTCTTCTCGGTCCTGGGGTCTGTGTCGGTCACATATGCTCCCAGTCTGGGCTGCCCCAAGAGTGGGAGGGTGAGGGTTGCTGCTAGTGATCTGCTCCCAGTGGGAGAGCTGAGCAGTCTGGCTGCCCTTCCTTGTAACTCCTTAGAACTGGGGGATATGTGGCCCTGTGCCTCATGCATTCGTCTCCAGCCACCCACTGCTCCAGACTTCCCCAGACAACTTTCTCCCCTAGTTGGCACCAGCTCACGTACTCTGTGTGGCACTGGAGTCTTTAAAAGCCATTTCTAGTCTCCTGACCTGCTGGATTTGGTCGGGCCCACTAAGATGGTTCCTGAACTGTCTGCTGTGCAGCCTTGCTGGATCTTGGCACCCGCTTCTCAGTGGGGCAGCTCTTCGTTTCTGCCCCCCTGCTGATAACTATCCAGAATTGTTGGGGCCATAGAGCTTCCAGTGGGATGCCAAAGGGACATCAGGTCAGAGTAGTTACCAATCACTCTATTGCCTAATTGTTCTGGCAAACCCTGCCTGAGTTTGGATGGATGGATTGGTTGCCCAGAGCCCAGCAGGTGTATCGGTTGCTTCCCATTCTCCATCTCTCAGAGACTCTGATCGCTAAACAGCGGGTAAAATCTTGCAGGCTTCCCTCCAGGAATTCTACTTAATGCAACCGAACAGTCAAGACTGATATATGTTCCATCCTTGAAGGGAACCAAGGACGGGATGCTATAAAGAAGGGGATGGTGCAGTCCCAGTGCTGAGTGGGATTAAGTCTATCTGGGGAAAGAAATGGCCACACGTGAGATAAGAAGTGCATGGCTGAGAAGAGTGTCTGATGGGCTGCAGAAGCTCGGGGAGCCTGCATGGGGGAGGTGGAGCTCTCATGGGCCTTGAAAGCAGGTAAGATCTGGATAGAGGAGAGGACATGTACCAGCATAGGCTCCAGGCATGGCACTGTGCCCTCCCATCTCTCCCTCACCTGATCTCACCTGCACTGTCATACTTGGCTCCATTTCTGGTCTGTCATCAGGCTTCCCTGGTCCTGTGTCTCGTGACCGACTCATTTGCTTATGTGTCCTATTTTGTTATACTTGATAGTTGCTATGAGTTGGCTCCAGTGGAGTGTTGTTTGTGTCTATCTGGAAACAGCAAAGTCCTGCAATGGAGCTCCCTGAGAAGGCCCTGAGATGCAGATTCCAAGGCCCTTGGATTGAACTCCCTTCTAGGTTGTCATCTGGAAACCCGCCTCTCTAGGAGACCCCATGAGGGACTAATAGCAGGCCCCACTTGATGCTGTAGGCCAGTAGGTCTCTGTCAGGTCAGTTTTGCCCTCAGACATTAGAGTTGCCCCTTCACTGAGGATGAAGCCAAAGGAGATGTCTGAAAAATCCTCAAGGCCCATGTTGCCTGCCACAAACAACCAAGATGTCTCAGGCCCAAATGTCAGTGGTGCTGAGGCTGAAAACTGCACTGTGTCAGAATCTGTGAGGTGGGGATTACAGTTTGCTTTAAGATGCATGGGTCACATGTGTTTGGTCATAAGAAGTCATTAGTAAGTATGGATAATAAACAAATGATTGAAGATAGGAGTAGGGGTGTGTGCATGCGTGCGTGTGCATGCATGGGTGTATACTTAGGTGTAGGGACACAATGAAAAGATGGATCCCATGATGTAGTGGGGGCATATTGGGACATGTCAGAGAGCAGTGGTTAGTGGCGTCAGTGAAGCGCTCTGAAGGTTGAGGACAGACTGAGCTTGGGTCATGGGTCATGGGGAGCCACATGTGGTCCTTGAGTAGGGCAGTAACTTGATAGAAGTGCCTGGAAAGGAAGGTTATCTGGGTGTTGTACCGGAAGGCTTGGAGAAGTAGACACAGCCACTCAAGAGGGAGGACACAGCTCAGGGGACTCTGAAGACCACGCTAGAGGCAAAGGGATGACAAGCTCATCTAGTGCTGTGAAGTTGCTACAGAAGGAAGGAGGTGATGTGGGCTGACATGTTTTATTTATTTGTCTATTTATTAGTTTTGAACCCTCAGTCTTTCCCTGGGATGTGCAATGGAAACTTTTGACAAGGTCCATCATAAGCCACTAAAATTCTAGGGACGAACCTGGGTGGGAGACAAAGGGGGCAGTGTGATGGCCTCGTGAGTGCCATCTCTGTGGAGCAGAAGGCACACACCATGGGTTGGGAGGAAATGACCAGAAGGAGCAAAGTCATGGTGCGTTTGCTTCCCATGTCTGCTTCAGACTTAACATACACTGAGTACTTACTATATACACTGAGTACTTGTTATACACTGAGTATTTACTATACACGGAGTACTTGCTGTACATGGAGTACTTGCTGTACACTGAGTACTTCCTGTACTCTGAGTACTTCCTGTACACTGAGTACTTCCTGTACTCTGAGTACTTCCTGTACTCTGAGTACTTGCTATACACTGAGTCCTTGCTATACACCGAGTCCATGCTATACACTGAGTACTTACTGTACACCGAGTACTTGCTGAATACTTGCTGTACACTGAGTACCACTGGAAGTGCTGAGGATAGTGTGTGCAAGGCCCCAGGTGTGGAGAAAGGGAAGTAACTCATGGGCTGTGAGGAAGACAGAGGGGCTTGCATGGAGGCATGGACAAGGGGCCCTAAGGGCGAGGAGGGAGCTGCTTCAGGAAAGGGTTTATTTGGCTTACAGAGGACATTGGAAGCAGTCTTGAAGAAAGAGCAATGATCCTTGGGCACAGGTGGGGGAGGAGGGGAGGTTCCGAAACCCAGCGTGAGCCAAGGGTGAGGAAGAGCAGGGAGACCGAGCAGTCCATGCAGAGCAGAGCTAAGCTGCATTGTCCAGCAGGGAGACAGACAGAGTGTGGAGAACAAAGTTGTGGTGAGTGTGAGAAGTAGTGTGTCAGAGAATGGAGAATTGGGAGTTTGAGTTTGTATTTGCTTGGACATGGAAGGAAGTCTGTCTGGAGCAAGCCGGCAACTCTTTGGAAAGGAACTCTGAAATGACCAAGGGGAAGAGCTAGGCTAGCAATGAGGATTTTAGAGTCCGCACCATCCAATCAGCGTGTTCTCAACTTCTATGGTTGTGATGTGTAGTAAAAAAAATACATTCTCCTTGGGGACAGCAAACATTCTGTGAAGGAATAGTTGGATTTACTATGAGAAATGTGCTCTGATACTTTCTATTCAATTTCATTAAAACAAAACTTTGTAGGGGAGCTGGAGAGATAGTCTCAGCAGCCTCTTGCAGAGGACCTGGGTTTAGTTCCCAGCACTAACATGATGGCCCACAACCATCTGTAGTTCCAGCTCCAGAGGACCAAACAAGCTCTCCTGGCCTCTGTGGGCACTGCACAGACATGGTACACTTTATATACACACAGGCAAACACATACACATAAAATGAAAACAATAAAAAGAGTCTCTAGAAGAACTTTCTAGGGATAGGGATGTAGCTCAACAGTAATGGTGTCCTGCATATCATGCATGAGGCCCTGGATCCAATCTCCCACTTTTCCATTTCATTAAATGTATATGTAATGGAAGCAGAGAGATACACCTTTAATCCCAGAAAGTTCCAGGCCAGCTGGGGTTACAGTGATTCTCTCTCTCTCTCTCTCTCTCTCTCTCTCTCTCTCTCTCTCTCTCTCTCTCTCTCTCTCCATATATAAATAACTATTATTTGGTCTGAAGAAGAAGAAGGTTCTAACACAGACTGCAACATGGATGAACCTTGAAACTATTATGCTAAATGAAATGAGACAGACAAAAGAGCCAGGTGCTGTATGACTCCACTTTGGTGAGGTATTTAGAGTTGTCAAACATAGACAGGAAGTAAAGAGGTGGTTGCTGGATGCTTTGAGGAGAATGAGATATTAGTCATCATTTAATAGGCAAAAAATTTCTGTTGGGGAAGAAGAGAAAAACAAAATGGATGAGCTTACTGCTCCTGGCTGTGCACTCACAACTGGGTAAAACGGCCAAGTTCAGATTACATAATTTTTCTTACACTTATTTATTTATTGCATGTGTGTTTGTGCAGTTGCCATGG